AGGAGCAACATCAGTCTTGTAGTCCAGATTTTTTTCAATATAGAGGTTACTTTTGTAGTTTTTTTTTTGAAGGGACTGCTTCTAACTACCTGTGGATCCTTGCTCTTTTAGTCGAGATATAGGAGAAGTACTATGGCACCCTTTTGGTCAAGGGATAAAACGGGCAGCATGACGCGCTTTTCATCAAGGATTATAAGCTTGAAACTACACCTCATCATTTTTGAAAAAGTATTTCAAGCGACACTTTCAGCTGGATCAGCTACGCGTCGAGTACCAAGTTCCAGTGTTTACGATGGCTTCTATATTTATAGAAACTCCAGGCGATTTGTCCCACCCAACGCAGCTCATCCTGATGAACAACATGGTGGATGACTTTGAAAAACTTCACGGCAGCTGGGGTCCAGTTGGCACCATGTATTTCGTTCGCGATTTCGTAACGTTCGAAAACTATTTGCAGTGTATGTCTCTTCATGCCTCTACATAATATCCAATGGCTGTCAGTAAAATTGATTATTAAATCAAGTACGGTGCATTAAATTCTGCTTTGTGCTATTTTTTAGCAGACTCAAATGACTACGATTACGATCCAGCTGATGGCACCACTACGCTTTCGGCTATCGACGCCCTGAAATTCAAAAATGAAGACTTACCATCATTTTTGGTGTGGCCAGAATATGATTTTTGGAGCGGCTTTATCAGACTAAAAAACGCTACTCCGGATGGAAAGTAATTTCTTTGATTTTTTTGTTGTATTCTGGGCTTCCGGTCAATGGAATTAGCCAACAGTGTCGAAGAATGGTTTCCTTCTTTGCAGCAGCCTCTTTCACAAAAACTTGCAGCAGCTCTTTCAGTGCGTATTAACGTTATCAAGCACTTAGAATAATAGGAGCTTTAATCCATAACCTCATTGCCCAATCGTGCCGCAGGCAATTTTTTTCATTTGTTTTGACCAATGCTGCATGGCCTGCTGGTGATTCTGACATTTGTTTCATCTCCTGAGAAGATTCGCTAACTCAGCAGCATCTGATTTATGAATGATTATATCTTGTCTGATTATCAATTTCCTAATTATAAGATTCTTAAAAATCGATAACTTTGGTGATTAAATTTCAAAGAAGCGTTTTTACAATATAAAGAAAAATCACTCTACTGATTCAGAGTTGCCCCTATTCTGGAAAAATTCTAGCTGTAGCCTCTTTTAGACAGATTTTCGTCAAACGCGCTTTGGTCCTTTGCAACTAGTAGACACGCCTGACAGTGCGTTGTTGTAGGTTTACTGATCCACACAGACATATATGCTGTTAATAATCCCTGTAATAGACGTAATTAATGGTGCTTTGCGAGAACCGTGAATTATTGACACAGGAAAAAGCTTTCTTTAAGTTTTAACTCCAAGTCTAATTTTCTGATTCCAACACAACCCATTACCGGATAATATCATTAAAAAAAACATCTGACAGGTATACCATACCATGAAAATTTCGTTCTTTACTGACTCTGTTTCTTGTAACTTTCCCTCAATTATAAATGAAAAACAGTGCCAATATTATACTCTGCATAAAGCGGTGATTGATAATCGTAAATGCTTGTGCCGATTTCTCATTCACATTTGATAGTGAATGATTTCAGACAAAAGACTCTCGAGAAATTTTTCTTCACAACAGGATATCACGACGAAGACTTGAAAATTTGGCCTGTGCGTGGCCGACTGCTCAAGAAATGGCGTGCTATTGTCGATAAACCTTCATAGTAAGTGAATTTGTTTCTTTCAGTCGCGAACTCGAAGTGTGAATGCTACAAACGCAAGATGAAGCTGAATGGAAAAGTTGCAGCTTTATTGTCAGAGATTTAGGTCGTGAATTAACAGCTGTTCCAAGTACCTTTATTTTTCCTCACAGATCACTTTCTCCAGCTGCAGCGTACAAAAAAAAACAGAACGCTTACTTTTTCGCCTCTGTCTACGCGCCTAAATATTTTCTGATTTCAGCGCGACATTTCATGCGACAGTCTTTCATGAAGACGGTATATTCCTAGACTTAATTGATAATATGCCTACGGATACGTGGCAGTCTGTACTGGGTACACTGGTATGTATGGCCGCCGTGTGTTTCGTTTTTCTACGCAGTTTGCTTACAGTGGCTATTGCTACTACGTGTGTTCTTTCGATATGTGTCGGTCAGTCAATTACTTTATTTGCACCCGGCACAGGGTCTTTAGCTTGAGTCCAACGATCTTCCACATTAATAGTGGGCTAGTAGAAGACTGACCTGTTCTAATTTTTAAAGTGGAGTAAAGCCGAAAATCGAAATCCTTCCATATTTTGTAATGTATGAAAGGCGGAAGCATTCGAAAGTAGTCCGAGCGGTAGCACAGTGACTAATAGTGACCAGTCGCTGGCAAAGCCGTTGATAGTTCCCTTTTCCAAATGATGCTTAAAGACAAACTGATGTCGGTTTGAAAAGAAGGCGAGGCAAAATGTCAACTTATTTTGCTTCATTTTTGACAGAAAAACAAGACACAAACATTATGCTGAAGTTTTCACAAGTGCATTAAAATCACTGTTGCACGCAGCTTCCAAAAAATAGGGCTCACATTTTTGAAATTCTCTTCCTTTTCTCTCATCGATACTTAAGACATGATAACTAGAACGGCTTGAAAGTTTGTCATTAATTTATTAATGATGTAGCCAACAACAACCTTGCCATTTTCATTTTTTTTCATTTCATGGTTGTTTTGACAAAAGCTGAATCGTTTAGCAGTCAATCTTCTGGCGATTCAGGCTTTCTTTTTGTCTTTTGAAGGGGTTACCGACACAACATCTGTACCAGCAGTTGCATTTTGGCAAGGCACTAGTCAGTTAGAGATTTAAAGGACTGAACTGAGTGTCAGTATCTCGCCACCCTCAAGCGCTGCCTCTGCAAATCACAACGAGGTAGTGTGTAGTGTAATTTAGAGTGTACTTGAATCTGAAATAGAGTCCGAGTTTTTCGGATTTTATACT